CTTCGTGAATCTGTCAAATTCTGACTTGTGGCCCAATGGACAGATCAGAACACTCTTCCTTCAAAACATCTCTACGTAATACCCAGAACCATCCACCACAACCCACCTGATCCTTGACTTCGGTGACACCACCTTTGGTTCTCCAATCTATCTGGTCAGGAATATCTGGATCATCTGAGGATTTGAATGTGATCCTGTTGCCTTTAGTTACTTTATCAACGTCAGAGAGTAGGCAATGCAGCCTCTTGTCAAGCTCTTCATTGGTCTGAGGAGGAGAAGGACAATCTTAACAGCTCTCCATTTCCACTTCTCATCTTTCTCCTTAATACGTTTTATCCCATGATCAAATGCAAAGAATATATGTTATGAACAAAGCAAACCTGGTTATCAGAGAGCAGTTTGTGTTTAGTTAAGTCTACAGCATGTGTCCCAATTTTGGCAACTTTTAAGATGTCTAGACTTCAACTCCCAGAATTCCGCTCAAACACCTGGCAGGTAAAATGCTAACATTCCCAGTCTGGATAATAGACTGGGAGAGATGGTAAAGATAAATTCACAGAGATGGCTAAAGCCATCCAGTGTTTAAAATTAAGTATTCATAAATGCTGGAATATTAGAAATCCGTACTCAGATGGAATGCTTGCAAATTATCAATAATTCCATTGCTAGTGGCCTTTGGCTGGGTCTGTTTGATGTGCTCTTGGCATTCTGTAGGTACAATATGATGTAAATGAGGGAGCCCGGTGGCAGAATTGGAATCATGTGGTCATCAATATAACATTTGTCATTGGATTCAGGTTCTGCAGTATAGTACACTTGCAAAAGCCATGGACTGGAAAGAGACAAGTTCATGACCACTTCAGTCATAAAAGCTCACTGGGTGCCTTTAGGCTAAGAAAGAGCAAGCACCCCAATCTTTGCCTTGAGTTTTTTTGACTTGGGAAGTGGGGATACTAGATTTGGCATCTGGAACTTCTAAAAAAAAGGACATCTATGCCTAATAAATAAGTCAAAACTAGAGCCATTTGCTGAAATGGGCAACTAAAGAAATCTGATAGAAATAGAAAGATAGGTAGATAGGTAGATAGATAGATCCAGCCTTACCAAATCGCCAAAGTGGTTCATGCCAAGCCAGTAGGTGTATTTCCCCAGGTCAGCCTGCTTGTTATGATCTTGAATCATCTGCAAATTCTTTTCCCACATGGCTCTTCGAAAGGATTCTTCTTCCTGCTAAGAAGCCAAAACGGGGAAGATCCCTTAGTCGCATCTCACCTAATAAGTGGCACCTACAAGTTCTAGAACTCATATTCTTCTCTTCCATAAAAGGTTTATCTGACTAGAATTCAATCATCCAGGAATGGACCAAACTCCCTTCAATTTTCATTTAGTACACAGGACATTATTCCCTGCAAAGCATGTCTGAAGACAGATAGCAGAAAGAAAGCTTATAAACATTGCTATTGTAAGTTGAAATGAAGGTATGGAACTGGAACACTTGAAGGAAAAGTAGGATTTTTGTTCCTGCGGGACAGAACCAGGTATGAGGTCTACTTAGCTTTACTACCAGTTCGCAAAGGGAGCGCACGGTTCTATAGAACCGGACAGAACCAGGAACAACCCACCACTGGACAGAACCTACAGAAGACTCTGAGAACATCAGTAGTCACAGCCAACTCAGCCCCCATTGTATCAGAAATGTTAAACTAAAATTTGCAATTTCATTTGAGTTCTACTGGAGCAAACTCACCTGAGCGTATTCTTTACCGTGAGTGGCCTTCCAGTCTCTCCATGTCCCCTCTACGGTTGGATCTAAAGCTGTGGACAAGGTCCTCAGGGAGACCAGCCAGATCAGGGCCGCCACCGAGATGGACAACATTGTCTTTCTCTAGGAGAAGGGAAGGGAAGGGAAGGGAAGGGAAGGGAAGAGAAGAGAAGAGAAGAGAAGAGAAGAGAAGAGAAGAGAGAAGAGAAGAGAAGAGAAAACAGGGTCAATGTAGCAGCATGGTAAGAATTAAGGCCAGCAACATCTAGCTGACTACAGATTCCAAACCCTGATTTACAGTGCTAAAAAGAGAGATTAAAACTATTCAATTGCTGTTAATAAATGCATAGATTAAATGAGAATCTCTGGAAAGTTTGAGGTAAGAGTAACCAGCTGGAACCTCACCTCAAGCAGGTTTTTACAGAAGGCAAAGGGGAAGCTGTTAAACAAAACTGCAGCAGCCCCTTTTATAAGCGAACATATAACTGCCACTTCCCACTGGATTTAATTGACATTTTACAAGGAAATAGCACATCTCTACAATTCTTTAGAAAGCAATGTTTTTTTTTTCTCATTTCAATAAGATAATGTTTTTTTAACTCTCTCTTGGAGATTTTATTTGGCGGGGGCGGGGGGGGAGGTAATTCTATAAAGCAAAATAGCTAAAAAAAGCCACTGGTTAGACTGCTGACCTGATTTGTATCTCTTATCCCTGGAAACTTGAATAACTTTCTGTTGTTGCAACCGTTTTAATGTCCTATGAAGATAAATTTCATGTTTGATTTCTATCTAGCTCTGCTGTCTATCTTGATTCTTGGAAAAAGCATGAGCTCCATCTCCCAAACAGGAGATTCAAAGACAACTGCAGTTAATACTAATATTGGGGGACATGTCAATTGAAGGTCCATCTTTATTTGGGCAAAAGTCATGTTGGGTTCTTCAACTTTGAGAACTGTTTATTAATGCTCACACTAAAATGGTTATTATTTGGTATTTATTTTTCAGACATGGGGTCTGCATGCAATTTCGGCAGGCCTAATATAGGTAGTCCTCAACTTACGACCACAATTGTGTCCAAAATTTATGTTTCTGAGTAAGAAATTTGTTAAGTGAGTTTTGCCCCATTTGATGACTTTTCTTGCCACATTTGTTAAGTGAATCACTGCAGCTGTTAAACTAGTCACACGGTTGTTCAGTGGATCTGGTTTCTGAATTTCTCGAATTTTGATCACTTGACTGTGAGGATGTTGCTAAGGTCACAAGTATCAGAATTGATTGTAAATCACTTTATTCAGTGGTGTTATAACTTTGAACAGTCATTAAGCGAATGGTGGTATGTAGAGGACTGCCTGTATAGCTGGTTTTAGTCAGAGAGATCCCATTTGTTGAAAGATGTTCATTTTGCTCACTTCTTTTTCTTCGATGTTTTTGTCTTGGAGCCTCTCATTCTCGGGCCTTACATCCTGGCCAATAGTAGGTTAGGTTAGTAGGTAGGTTACCTTCGCTACTGGTTCAATACTGTGAATGCACATGTGTGCGCGCTTCCTTCACATACACGCGGCACTTCTGCACCAGCACAGAACCTTCTGTGCATTGGCAGAGTGTCCGTGATGACATCCAGGTGGATGGGCGGAGCCTCCCACCGCTGCCGCTACCGGTTCTCCTGAATCGGGGCAAACCAATAGAAACCCACCACTGACCCTGACCCTAAAATTCTTGGAAGGCTACATGAGAGCAAAGAACACGTATCATCCTGAAGGAAAGCAGCAGTGGAAACAAGGCTGACCCCTCTTCTTATTGCAAACCATTACTTAGAATGTATCCCATTTTTTTTGACCATTCCCTGGAGAAAGCAATTATGTTTGAAAGAATTGGCGGTAAAAGGAAACCAGCCCACGAAAGAATAGGGTGGCTGGACACCCTCAAACCTAACACCAACAAAGCATAGAACAACTCAAAGAAATAGTGCAAGATTGGAAGATGTGGAGAGACCTGACACATAAGATGCCAAGTGTTGGACACAATTGAATGAATATAATCATCATCATCATCTCCCATCTACAATGTAGTTAGATTACATGCTTTGTGGAACTTTTCTCCCGTGTCTATGGTGCATATGCTTGGAGAAGGACATGTGGGCATTATTCTGTTCTTTGGCGTAGGAGAGGGGCCTGCTGAGGGTGCACGGAGACATCTCTCAGTTTTGAGATGCTATGTAGATGGGTAATGGACAGGTACGGAGAGGTACGGGAGGTGCTGAAGAGAAAGTAATCTGAGAAAACAAAGAGATAGATAATGTATTCCTTTGAGGCATCTTGGATTAGCTGAAACCCCGGAGGACCTGTCCAATAAATCCAAAGGAGGTGGGAAATGGGCCGTCAGAATAGGAAACTATGAAATGTAATGCTTTTAAAATTTTAGGTGTGGCTTCCTGGCTTAAACTCCTCTGTTGAGATCTGCTGGGGTATACCCACCCTATTTTGCAAAATAGCTTTTACTATTTTCTTTTAATAAAATCTCTTTGTTTTCATCGATCCATGCTTGTTGGTTGAATTCATTTCCAACAGAATGAACCCACTTTCTGGAAGGAGCATCCTCTATCAGGGGTATGAATACTTTGTTGCTTTTTACCTATTACTTCTTATTGATCATGCGCTTTGTTTTCCAAATGTGTGTAATAGGCATGCCAATTTGAGTACCAAGGGCTCTCAATGAGCAATGCTGTGTGATTTAGTCCTGACAGCACATTTTTTGCACTGCACCCAATAAACAGTGTCATCTCAACTGTTATCTCAAACCAGGGGTGAAATCCAGCAGCTTCTGACGGGTTCTGGAGAACCGGTAGTGGAAATTTTGAGCCTTTCGGAGAACTGGCAAATACCACCTCTAGCTAGCACCAGAGTGGGGTGGGAATGGAGATTTTGCAATATCCTTCCCCCAGGAGTGTGGGGGGGAAATGGGGATTTTTCAGAATCCTTCCCCTGCCACACCCACCAAGCCACATCACGCCCACCAAGCCACACCCACAGAACCAGTAGTACAAAAATTTGGATTTCACCACTGTCTCAAACCACATGTGTATGAAATTAATACATATTTCTAATGCATATTTTCTGTGTTTTTTACAGGGCTAGATGCATCAGGAATTCTGACATTCCATGAGGAAATATGCCATTTATACCAACACAATGGCCCTAACAAACACATGCACATAATAGAATAGAGTGTGCTGGGTCTGTTCTGAGTAGCATTGCCCAAAAGCATTTATTAACATTTTTTTTTCTTCCAGAAGCTTCAGAAGCAGCAGGTCATTCATTGGTGACTTTTAGCTCTATATATCTCAAACGATCCTTATGCTGAAAGAAGAAATTACTTTCCCTTCTTTGGATCTGGGATAGGAAAGACGGCGTGTTCAGCGACTTTGCACTGATTTGATCCTTTGGCTAGGCGCATGTAACCTTTCTCACCCCAAAGAGTGGACCAGCTGTGAAGGGAAGAATACAGAACGTTTATTTCTAGAATTCTGCAGCACAGTGGATCATTCATGATTCTAGATGAAGTTTCGCCATCCCCAAATGCCTGGTGCAAAAGGAGGCTTTTTGCCATAGGTTAACAGGGAGGCAGCCATCTTTAAAAGGAGCAACAACAGACCAGCTTCCGGGTCCATGGCTTCACAGAGGATATGCAACATGACTTCAAGATGGAAACTAAGCATCAGAAGATCTGAATATGTTTAGCCTGCAGACGTCACTCAGCATCTGCTGGGACTCACTGCATAAATGGGGCATAGTATCCTCCCCTCAGTGTGACTGGGTATATATCACACTGTGACTGACTGTAAACTGAGGGCATATACTGCTCCAGTATCTGATTTTTTTTCATATAAACGATGCTGTGCTAAATCTAAATATTTAGTATTTAAATTGGTTTTAAAAGTTTGTTTTAAATTTGTGCCTATTTAATTTGATTTTATTCTAAATATTGTATGTGGTGCATGACGGTGTAGGCATAATAATAATAAATATGCCATTTGCTAAATATGCTAAATATGCTAAATAAATAAATTGTCTGCAGAAGGGACGGCCGAGGGGGACTGATGTCTGAAGGGGGTTGTAACATGGAAGAGGGAATGGCCTTTTTCCATATTGCCCCAGATGACACGACCAGAAAAGAAGCACTGGGCCAAAATTACAAGGAAGACGGAAGAAGCTAAACTTCAGAAGGACCTTCCAGGTAATTTGGATAGACATTTGGCCTCAATGAGAATTCATTTGCAATTTCCCTTAGCTCAGCATGATATCTTCACATGGAATATTAACACAAGATTGGGGTTGTAAGGAAGATGCACTCCTGAGAACACTGCATGCTCAGAGCAAGTCCTCTAGGTTGTCTTGCCCATCTTTACAGGAAGATAAGACACAGAGTTGAAATATCCAAGTCCTCCAGGTAAGCAAAAGCTTCCCATTCTATTTTCAGGTGATGCTACATGGAGATCACCTTCCTCAGCTAACATCCTCGGTAGGAGTTGGACGACAACACCCTCCATCTCCAAATACTTCGGGAGCATTGTCTTCCAACCCAGCCGAAGGACATTCTTGGGAGAAGCAAAATTAACATTTTAAGCCGCCCAGAGGTACCCTGTGGTAAGATGAACGGCCAATAAATTTAATAACTAAAATAAATTTTTCTGTGGGACAATTCCATAGGGAAAACAAGTAAGTTATACAGTAAGTAAATTTCTCATTTTTTTAAACTTCTGCAGACTGATGTCTATTCACTCACCTGTTCTTTAGGATCCAATGGCCATTGCCCTCGCTGGAGTCGTTATAACCCACAATCAGCATAGCATGATTTGTCTGTTTTTCTCCATCATTGGGTTCTCTAAATATTCCTGGATAGAGAGAATAAGAAATGACCCATCCTTGGTGGTAGCCAGATGCCCCGCCCTATCTTACCTGCATTTTTAATGATTGCATTTCTAATTTGAAACATGTCTTCCTGGAGATGTTTTCACCTGGGCCCCTCAGATGTTCAAGCACTGGACAAAACTCTTAGACTATAATGGTATCTCTCAGCTTTTTCCAGAGCACCAATCCCCTAGGACTATGTTGATCAAAGAGATTTCTTATTTTTCATTGGTGTCTTTGAGCTTTTCTTTTTTTGTCCGTTTAATATGTTTAGCAACTAATTTATCCTGTGCTAGAAAAAAAAGTCACTCTAAAAATAAAGATATTGAGGAGGGTCCTTGGTGCTCTCTGAGTTTGGTTGTTTTCTTGCAGACGTTTCATAACCCAACTAAGTAACATCATTACTGATGAAACCTCTGCAAGGAAACCACCAAACGCAGCACCAAAGCCCCCTCATTTCCACCCTGAGCTACAAACATTCTCCTCTTATCGATTGAGAAGGGTTTGTGTCGTTGTGGTGTAACTCAAGAAAAATTCTGAGCTTTACATCTGCGTACTAGTAGTTCATTGATCAGTCTTGCAATCTTACCAATAAAATAGAATAAATTACATAGTTGACAGGAGGAAATAAAGTGATAAGATACAAATATTGTAGGATGCTATCTGGATCGGTCACCGGGACCAAAGGCTTTGTCTTCTGACTTATTCGGACTCATGCTGGAGGTCATCTTCAGGGAATTTCTCTCCAGCACCAGTCCAAAAGCTCAGAAGATGACAATCTCTCGTCCCGGTGACCAACCCAGATTTAGTTCTTCAATGTTATTCACCTCCATTCGTTAGATATAAATGTGTTAATACAAAGAGACTATAATTAAATAAATTAATCCTCCTTGCAAGGTACCCCAATTATTCAGTGTAATGGGTTCATAGGACCAATGTCTTAGTTATAAACTTAGCAGTTCTATGCTCAATATATACATTTGAATCCAGGAGGAAACATGACAATTTTAAGAATTTCTCCAACTATCTGGAGCACCCCAGACAAACTAGCTTTATCAAATCAACCTGACAGTAAGAACATTCAACTTGCCTTCAAAAGTTGTCACTGGAGGCTTTTAAGAAGGGACTGGAATTTGTCAAAAATGGTATAGGGTCTTCTGCTTGAGCAGGGGGTTTATTGGCTAGAAGACCTCCAAGGTCCCTTCCAACAGAATAATAATTCTGTTATTTTCCATTAACTCCACCAGAAGCTATAAGGGAACCAAGGGAACAAAAGGTGCACAGCCCCATATAGACATGTCAGGCACTGATGTTGAAGGAGACAGAATAACAGAATTGGAAGAGACCTGGGAGATTTTCTATTCCAACCCCTGCTCAGGCAGAAGATCGAACACCATTACTGGTCAAACAACTCTCCAATCTCTTCTTGAAAACTTCCAGTGTTGGAGCACCCACAACTTCTTTTTTATATATATTTTTTTTACTTTTTAGTATAATAATTCCATACATATTTTGTGGACAGTGTATTGACTAGGTCAAGTCTTTTTAAAACAATGCTGACAATAATAATACAAATAAGTATGTATAATTCTAATCTTCCAACTTCAACAATACTATTCTCTCTTCATAATCCTTTATCATTTTTCCCATTAATTCATTTAAACATACATAACATTTCTTTATGCCATGTATTTATTATCCTCTATTAAATTACTATTATTTAATATTTTAAGAATTACTCATTATTCCACCATAACTTCAATATTCCAGATGTGTAGTATTACTAATAATGCTAGATATTAACAATATTTAATCAATCCCGGGAATCTATCTCAAAATCCTCACAATTTCTAATCCTTAATATTTTAAAAGGGTACCCAGAAGGGAAATTTCAGTAGGCACAAAAACATCAAAAAGAGATACAAGATTCCAAGAGAGAGAGAGAAAAGGCTGATTAAAAAGTCAATAAATGACGGAACTTTAAAAAGATTAAGAGATGATGGATAATGAGAAAATATATTAATAAAATGAGAGAAATAGGAATATATTAATAGATAATATAACTTACCACAACTAAAATAAGTTAAGATTAGTAGATAGAGATTTAGGATTAGGTAATTTAATTGAATTATTAATATTAATAGTGTGTTAAAATTTGGGTTCTGAAAGAGCCCAACTTTTGGCCCCACCATTGGCCCAACATTTGGCCCCACCATTCCAACAATGATGCAATCCGAGAAGCCTCTGCGATCAAATGAAAATTGCCCCAATAACAACCAAGATACCCGAGCAATAGCACTTAGACTTGTATACTGCTTCACAGTGCTTTACAGTCCTCTCTAAATGATTTACAGAGTCAGCATTTTGCCCTCCACAATCTGGGTCCTCATTTTACCAATCTGGAAGAATAGAAGGCTGAGTCAACCTTGAGCCGGTGAGAATTGAACTGGTGGCAGTTGGCAGAGTTAGCCTGCAATACTGCATTCCAATCACTGTGCCACCATGTTAACCTAACAAAGCAAAGCCTTCAAAACAAAACAGGAAATCTAACATAAAAAGCTCCATTACCTGACCTGAAATAAACTAAAAGCTCTCCTTCTTGTCACCACCTTGAAACAACAACAACATAACCCCTTAATACCGAGATGGAGTTTGGCCTCATCATTGTTGAATATTACTTGGCAGAGGAGATAGCAAGAACCAGAAGGTCAACAGTGAGAGCCCTCAGGAACCTTACCTGACTTATAGAAGTGGAACTTGCTACTCCGAGCATCTATTCCAACAGAAACTGGACCTATCTTGGCCACAGCTTCCTGAAGACCTTTTTCATCATTCTCCATGATCTGTCCAAATGAGTTACATCTGGTAATAGATTCGTCAGGATCATAGCGGCAACTTTGTCTATCCTGCAGAAGAAAATGGTGATCCTAAGAAATCGTTGCCATTGATGGACTTTAATAGAAATTGTCTCCACCTATGACTCAAACCTTTTCCATCCTATTGCTGGAGGCATTTTCAGGCAGAGACATAGAGTATAACAATTCAGCTTGAAGCATGCAGAAGGAAAGGGCTGGGAGATACACAGATTTAATAATTTATTACCACTCCATCATAAGGGTAGCTTTTCTCTGAATTGATCCCTCCTTGTTTCCGCACAGTTTCAAAAGCTAGCTCCATAATTCCACCATCGCAGCCATAATTCTCCTCAGAACAGTCAATCAGATTTTGTTCACTTAGTGAGACCAGCTTCCCCATCTTCTTGAAATGCATGCCTTCCAGAGCACCAGTGGCACTGAAGGACCAGCAAGAGCCACACTCACCCTGGATTTTAAAAAAAAAAAAGCTGGAGTGATTCACTGAGCATCTGAAAACTCAGAATACAGAATAAGAGAGTTGGAAGGGAACTCAGAGGTCTTCTAGTCCAGCCCTCTGCATGAGCTGGAGATCCTATTCCATTGCGGACAAATGGCTATCCAATCTCTTCTTAAAAACTTCCAGTGATAAAACACACACAACTTCTCGAGGAAGCCACTCCACTGATTAAATGTTCTCAATTTATGTTCCTTTAACAAGTTACTTGCTCTCAGTACTTGGTAGTAAGGAGCTGGGTAAAAATGAGTTCTGACAGGATTAAAGTTTTGGGGATGAAGTTAAGGGAGAAAAGAATTTAGCTTTAATCTGCCAGTCTTTGTGGATCTGTTTAATTCTGACTTGTGGCCCAATGGACAGATCAGAACCCTCTTCTTTTCCTTCTACGTAATAATCAGAATCATCCACTACAACCTACCTGATCCTTCACTTTGGTGACACCACCTTTGGTTCTCCAATCTATCTGGTCAGGAATATCTGGATCATCTGAGGATTTGAATGTGATCCTGTTGCCTTTAGTTACCTTATCAAAGTCAGAGAGCAGGCAAGGCAGCCTCTTGTCAAGCTCCTCATTGGTCTGAAGAGGAGAAGAACAATCTTAACAGATCTCCATTTCCACTTCTCATCTTTCTCTTCAATAAATTTTATCCCATGATCAAATGCAAAGAATATCTGTTATGAACAAACCAAACCTGGTTTGGCAGTTTGTATTTAGTTAAGTCTACAGCATGTTTCCCAATTTTGGCAACTTTTCCAACCAAAATTGGACAAGATGATACAATAACATATTGATTTAAAACCTGAATTATTCCTGTTGGAGATTTTACAAGAAACTTACAGCAAAGAAAATGTATATTTGATTATTCATGTAATAACAGCAGCTAGAATTGAATTTGCACAAAACTGGAAAAGTGAAGAGATTCCTACAGAGGAGAATGTGATTAGGAAAATATTAGAATGTACAGAAATGAACAAATTAACAGTGGCAATCAAAGAGAAAGAACAAAGCAATTATTATACTATATGGGAATCATTTTATCGATGGTAAGAGAATACATATAAAAATTAGAAATAGAAGTAGATGAGTAAAATATAGAAAACATATTAATAGAGTCAATAGAGTTAAATAAATCAAGAAGAGGATTGTTGTTATTGTCATAGTATTAGATACTTAAAGGTATTGGTATTAACCTAAGAATAGATTAAATAATGAATATGATTGTAAATTTTAAATGTTATTGCACAAAACATTTGTACCCAGATGATACACTGTTTAATGGAAGATGGATTGTTTGTAATAAAATAAAATAAAAAGTTATTTGAAAAAAATTAGCAACTTTTAAGATGTCTAAACTTCAACTCCCAGAATTGCACAACCTCCATGAATCAGGTCAAACACCTGGCAAGTAAGATGGTAACATTCCCAATCTGGATAATAGACTGGGAGAGATGGTAAAGATGAATTCACAGAAATGGCTAAATGCATCCAGTGTTTAAAATTATGTTTTGTAAGTGATGGAATATTAGAATTCCGTACTCAGATGGAATGCTTGCAAATTATCAATAATTACATTGCTAGTGGTCTTTGGTTCAGTCTGCTGGATGTGCTCTTGGCATTATGAAGCTACAATATGATGTAAATGAGGGAGCCAGGTGACAGAATCGGAATCATGTGGTCATCAATATAACATTGCTGATAGGATTCAAGTTCTGCAGTACAGTACAATTGTAAAAGCCATGGACTGGAAAGAGACAAGTTCATGAACACTTCAGTCATGGAAACTCACTGGATGCCTTTGGGCTGAGAAAGAGCAAGCACCCCAATCTTTGCCTTGAGTTTTTTGATTTGGGAAGTGGGGGTACTAGATTCGGCATCTGGAACTTCTAGTGAAAGGGACGTCTATGCCTAATAAATAAGTCAAAACTAGAGTCATTTGCTGAGATTGGTGACTAAAGAAATCAGATAGAGATAGATGATAGGTAGGTAAGTAGATAGATAGATAGATAGATAGATAGATAGATAGATAGATAGATAGATAAATAGATAGATCCAGGCTTACCAAATCGCCAAAGTGATTCATGCCAAGCCAGTAGGTGTATTTCCCCAGGTCAGCCTCCTTGTTATGATCTTGGATCATCTGCAAATTCTCTTCCCACACAGCTCTTCGAAAGGATTCTTCCTCCTCCTGAGAAGCCAAGACCGGGAAGATACCTTAGTCACATCTCCCCTAACAAGTAGCACCTAGAAGATCTAGAACTCATATTCTTTTCTTCTATAAAAGGTTTCTCAGATTAGAATCCAATTGCCCAGGAATGGATCAAACTCTATTCAATTTTCATTTAGTACACAGGACATTATTGCTCACAAAACATATCTGAAGACAGGTAGCAGAAAGAAGGTTTATAAACATTGCTATTCTAAGTTGAAATCAAGGTATGGAACAGGAACACTTGAAGGAAAAGTAGGATTTTTTTTCCTGTGGGACAGAACCAGGTATGAGTTCTACTTACCTTTACTACCAGTTCGCAAAGGGAGCGCATGGTTCTATAGAACCGGACAGAACCGGGAGCAACCCACCACTGGACAGAACTCACAGAAGACTCTGAGAACATCAGTCGTGACAGCCAACTCTGCCTCCATTGTATCGGAAATGTTAAACCAAAATACAGCAATTTAATTTGAGTTCTACTGGAGCAAACTCACCTGAACATATTCTTTACCATGAGTGGCCTTCCAGTCCCTCCATGTCCCCTCTAGGGTTGGATCCAAAGCTGTGGAGAAGGTCCTCAGGAAGACCAACCAGATCAGGGCCACCACCGAGATGGACAGCATCGTCTTTCTCTAGGAGAAGAGAAGAGCTCAGAGACCAGAGTCAATGTGGGAACATGCAAAGAGTTAAGACCAGCAACATCTGGTTGACTAAAGGTTCCAAACCCTGATTTACAGTGCTAAAAAGAGAAATTAAAACTATTCAATTACTGTTAATAAATGCATTGATCAAATGAGAATCTCTGGAAAGTTTGAGGTAAGAGTAACCAGCTGGAACCTCACCTCAAGCAGGTTTTTACAGAAGGCAAAGAGGAAGCTGTTAAAAGAAAACTGTAGCAGCCCCTTTTATAAGCGAAGATATAACTGCCACTTCCCACTGCCTTTAATTGACATTTTACAACCGAATAGCATATCTCTAAATATCTTTGGAAAGCAATGTTTTTTCCTTTCAGTAAGATAATCTTCTTTTAACTCTTTCTTTTTGGGGGATTTTATTTGCAGGGGGGGGAGGTAATTCTATAAAGAAAATTATCTACAAAAAAAGGCACTGGTTAGACTGCTGACCTGATTTGTATCTCCTATGTCTGGAAACTTCACTGACTTTCTGTGGTTGCAACTGTTTTAATGTCCTAGGAAGATAAATTTCATGTTTGGTTTCTATCTAGCTTTTCTGTCTATCTTGATTCTTGAAAAAAGCATGAGCTCCATCCCCCAAGCAGGTGACTCAAAGACAACTGCAGTCATTACTAATTGTGGGGGAACATGTCAATTGAGGGTCCATCTTTATTTGGGCAAATATCACGTTGGATTCTTCAAACTTCCTAAAATGGTTTAGGAATAATGCTAAAATGGTTATGATTTGGTATTCCAGACATGGGTTCTACATGCAAGTTCAGCAGGTAGTGAAATATAGGTAGTCTTCAATTTATGACCACAACTGAGCCCAAAATTTATGTTTCTAAGTAAGAAATTGGTTAAGTGAGTTTTGCCCCATTTTATGACTTTTCTTGCCACATTTGTTAAGTGAATCACAGCAGTTGTTGAATTATTCACACAGTTTTTAGTGGATCTGGTTTCCCCATTGACTTCGCTTGTCAGAAGCCAGCTGGGAAGATTGCAAAAGGCGATCACAAAACCCTGAGATGCTGCAACCGTCTTTGCATGAGCTTGTTGCGAAGTTCTCGAATTTTGATCACTTGACTGTGAGGATGTTGCTCAGATCACAAGCATCAGAACTGGTTGTAAGTCACTTTTTTCAGTGGTGTTATAACTTCGAACAGTCATTAAGCGAATGGTGGTATGTTGAGGACTGCCTGTATAGCTGGTTTTAGCCAGAGAGATCCCATTTGTTGAAAGATGTTCATTTTGCTCACTACTTTTTCTTAGATGTTTTTGTCTTGGAGCCTCTCATTCTCGGGCCTTACATCCTGGCCAATAGTAGGTTTCACTTACTTACCTTCACTACTGGTTCAAAACTGTGAGTGCACATGTGCGCTTGCTTGCTCCGCGTACACGCAGCACTTCTGCACCTGTAGAGAACCTTCTGTGCATTGGCAGAGCGTCCGTGATGACATCCAGGTGGGTGGGCGGAGCCTTTCACCGCTGCCGCTACCGGTTCGCTTGAACGGGGGCGAACTGGTAGAAACCCACCACTGATCCTGGCCCTAAAATTCTTGGAAGGCTACATGAGAGCAAAGAACACGTATCATCCTGAAGGAAAGCAGCAGTGAAAACAAGCCTGACCCCCTCTTCTTATTGCAAACGATTACTTAGAATGTGTCCCATTTTTTTTGACCATTCCCTGGAGAAAGCAATTATGTTTGAAACAATTGGCGGTAAAAGGAAACCAGGCCGCCAGAGAATAGGGTGGCTGGACACCCTCAAACCTAACACCACCAAAGCATAGAACAACTCAAAGCAAGATTGCAAGATTGGAAGATGTGGAGAGACCTGACGCATAGGATTGCCAAGTGTTGGACACAATTGAATGAATATCATCATCATCATCATCTCCCATTTTCATGTTGCTGATAAATTATCTTGAAAGGTTTGCATACATAACTATAGCCCTATCGATTAGGGATAGAGGGGTGTGGACTGTGATATAGGAATGTAGGAATGAACCCACCTATTACTTATTATTGACCCTGTGCTTTGTTTTCCAAACGTGTGTAATAGGCATGCCAATTTGAGTCCTGAGGGCTCTCAATGGGCAATGCTGTGTGATGTAGTCCTAGGAGCACATTTCTTTGCACTGCACCCAATAAACAGTGTCTCAACTGTTATCTCAAACTAGGGGTGAAATCCAGCAGGTTCTGACAGGTTCTGGAGAACCGGTAGCGGAAATTTTGAGCCTTTCGGAGAACTGGCAAATACCACCTCTAGCTGGCACCAGAGTTGGGTGGGAATGGAGATTTTGCAATATCCTTCCCCCAGGAGTGGGGGGGGGAAATGGGGATTTTGCAGAATCCTTCCCCAGGAATGGGGTGGGAATGGAGATTTTGCAGTATCCTTCCCCTGCCACACCCACCAAGCCACATCACGCCCACCAAGCCACACCCACAGAACCAGTAGTACAAAAATTTGGATTTCACCACTGTCTCAAACCACATGTGTATGAAATGAATACATATTTCTAATGCATATTTTCTGTGTTTTTTTACAGGGCTAGATGCATCAGGAATTCTGACATTTCATGAGGAAATATGTCACATTTATTCCAACACTATGTCCCTAACAAACACATGCACATAATAGAACAGAGTGTGCTGGGTCAGTTCTGAGTAGCATTGCTCAAAAGCATTTATTAATTTTTTTTTCTTACAGAAGTTTCAGAAGCAGCAGGTCATTCATTGGTGACTTTTAGCTCTATATCTCAAACGATCCTTATGCTGAAAGAAGAAATTACTTTCCCTTCTTTGGATCTGGGATAGGAAAGACGGCGTATTCAGCGACGTTGCATTGATTTGATCCTTTGGATAGGCGCATGTAACCTTCCTCACCCCAAAGAGTGGACCAGCTGTGAAGGGAACAATACAGAATGTTTATTTCTAGAATTCTGCAGCACAGTGGATCAATCATGATTCTAGCTGAAGTTTCGCCATCCCCAAAAGCCTGGTGCAAAAGGAGGCTTTTTGCCATAGGTTAACAGGGAGGCAGCCATCTTTAAAAGGAACAACAACAGACCAGCTGCTGGGTCCATGGCTTCACAGAGGATATGCAACATGACTTCAAGATGGAAACTAAGCATCAGAAGATCTGGGTATGTTTAGCCTGCAGACGTCATTCAGCATCTGCTGGGACTCACTGCATAAATGGGGCATAGTATCCTCCCCTCAGTGTGACTGGGTGAATATCACACTGTGACTGACTGTAAACTGAGGGCATATACTGCTCCAGTATCTGATTTTTTTTCATATAAACGATGCTGTGCCTTAATGGTTAGATGGCCTAGACATTGTTATCTGAATATAGAATTTTCTAACATTCATATTTTATATGGATTTTTTAATCTAGATAAAATGTTAATATAAATTGCAAGTTATTGGATGATATGCCATATGCTAAATATGCTAAATAAATAAATTGTCTGCAGAAGGGACAGCCAAGGGGACTGATGTCTGAAGGGGGTTGTAACATGGAAGCGGGAAATAGAAATAGAATAGCAGAGTTGGAAGGGACCTAGGAGGTCTTCTAGTCCAACCCCCTGCTCAGGCAGGAAACCCTACCCCACTTCAGACAAATGGTTGTCCAACAACTTCTTAAAAACTTCCAGTGTTGGAGTAGTCACAACTTCTGCAGGCAAGTTGTTCCACTTATTAATTGTTCAGGAAATTTCTCCTTAATTCTAAGTTGCTCCTCCCCTTGATTAGTTTCCACCCATTGCTTCTTGGGAATGGCCTTATTCCATATTGCCTCAGAAGACAGGATCAGAAAAGAAGCATTAGCCAAAATTACAAGGAAGACAGTATAAGTTAGACTTGAAACAGACTTTTCAGGTAATTTGGATAAACGTTTGGCCCCAATGAGAATTCATTTGCAATTTCCCATAGCTCAGCATGATATCTTCACATGGAATATTAACACAAGATAGGGGTTGTAACGAAGATGCACTCCTGAGAACACTGCGTGCTCAGAGCAGGTCCTCTAGGTTGTCTTGCCCATCTTTACAGGAAGATAAGACACAGAGTTGAAATATCCAAGTGCTCCAGGTAAGAAAAAGGTTCCCATTCTATTTTCAGGTGATGCTACATGGAGATCACCTTCCTCAGCTAACATCCTCGGTAGGAGTTGGACTACAACACCCACCATCTCCAAGTACTTCAGGAGCATTGTCTTCCAACCCAGCCGAAGGACATTCTTGGAAGAAGCAAAATAACATTTTAAGCCGCCCAGAGGTACCCTGTGGTAAGATGGACGGCCAATAAATTTAATAACTAAAATAATTTTTTCTGTGGGACAATTCCATAGGGAAAACAAGTAAGTTATACAGTAAGTAAATTTCTCATTTCTTACACTTCTGCAGACTGATGTCTATTCACTCACCTGTTCTTTAGGATCCAATAGCCATTGCCCACACTGGAGTCGTTATAACCCACAATCAGCATAGCATGATTTGTCTGTTTTTCTCCATCGTTGGGTTCTCTAAATATTCCTGGATAGAGAGAATAAGAAATGACCCATCCTTGGTGGTAGCCAGATGCCCTGCCCTATCTTACCTGCAGCAGAGGCCTTTTTAATGATTGCATTTTTAATTTGAAACATGTCTTCCTGGAGATGTTTTCACCTGGGCCCCTCAGATGTTCAAGCACTGGACAAAACCCTTAGACTATAATGGTATCTCTCAGTTTCTTTCCAGAGAACCAATCCCCTAGGACTATGTTGATCAAAGAGATTCCTTATTTTTCATTGGTGTCTTTTAGTTTTTCTTTTTTTGTCCGTTTAATATATTTAGCAACTATTTTATCCTGTGCTAGAAAAAAAAGTCACTCTAAAAATAAAGAATATGGAGAAGGGTCCTTGGTGCTCTCTGAGCTTGGTCGTTTTCTTGCAAAAATTTCATAACCCAACTAAGTAACATCATTACTGATGAAACCTCTTCAAGGAAACCACCAAACGCAGCACCAAAGCCCCCTCATTTCAACCCTGAGCTACAAACATTCTCCTCTTATCGATTGAGAAGGGTTTGTGTCATTGTGGTGTAACTCAAGAAAAATTCCTTACTGCTGCGTACTAGTAGTTGATTGATTAATTTCTGGTCATGGTGACCAACCCAGATTGAATCTTGCAGCGTTATCCTGGGATACGTGTATTCACCTTCATTCTTGAGATACAAATGTGTTAATACAGAGAGACAATAATTAAA